TGCCCTTCCTAAATACCCAGATAGCGCAGGTAAATATATATATATATATATATATATATATATATATATATAATATATATATATATATATATATATATATATAATATATATTCACACACACACGCACACACATACACACACACACACAGATAGTGTGCCTGTTTTGCGTGTATGTGCATGTGTGTGTTTATGTGTGTGTGTGTCTGAGTGCGGGAACAGAGGAGAGTTGGAGGAAAGAGATGAAACGGGGGTGGGGGGTTACTCGCCTCCAAAGAATGCGAATGAGCAGACCTTCAGCGTCACAAACATTTGCTCGGAAAAACTTACTCACATTTCAAGGTCTAGTTTGTTCACACACGTACCCACACGCACAACCACACAGACACATGCACACACACACACAGATGCAGTCAAATACACGCACACGCACATAAATACACGCACACGCACTCAAAAACACACACACACATGCACTCAAACACACACCACACATCACTGCACTCAACACACACACACACATGCACTCAAACATGACACACACATGAACACAACACACAAATTGCACATGCATTCAAACCACACACACACACACACACACAACTCACATACACACAACACACACACATGACTCAAACACCACCACAACAACACACACACATGCCCAAACACACACACACAGTCAAAACACAATTTTTACGTAAATGCGATTATGAATGATTTTGGAAATTATTATAACAACTATGGAACGGTTTACGACAACGATACTATCAAAAGGGAAATATATTTTTTTTAATCTATATTCTAGACCAAAAAAAATTTTTGTTTATAGGAAAACATAGAGAGGTAGTCTAGCCATTTCATAATTAGTAAAAAAAAAATCACTTTTTCGGAATAGCGCATATTGTCACACAAAAACATTGTAAACATTGTTTTATAATTACCTTACGATCACACCATTACCGCTCAATTACATCCCTTTTATATAATCATTATCATAATTGCCATGTAATCATCATAATCACTGTGTATAATAATTTTAGCGTAATTAGTGTACGTTATAATCTTACCGTGATTATGATCATTGTCATTCCAATCATATTTGTTATAATAGTCATAATTACCACAGATTGTAATTGTCTGTGAGTTACAAACATGTTTATCACAAGCTTCTTGATCTAAGAAATTATAATAAATAAACAGCTATTGTAAACAGACTTATTGATATAAAAGACGAATAAACAAACATCTATTGTTAAAATAATATAAAGATATAAGTAAATAAACAAAGCTATTCTTAGCAAATTTGTTGATACAAAAGATATGAATAAATAATGGCAATTATCGAGACGAACAGCTTTTCCGTCGTAGATTTCCAGCGCTACTTCCAGTCGCTCATTGTCGTTGATTATCCTTTATTTCATTCATTTCCATTGCCCTTGTCCCTTCCGTCCCTCCGAGGCCCCCCCTTTCCCGGGACCCGACTTCCCTCCGAACAATGGCCTCCGACTCCGCCCGACGCAGCGCTCATCGTCGGAAGTCGGCAATTTGTGCTGCAGATCGTGCCATCCCACAGCCAGTGCTTAGGGTGACTGGGCCACGTCAGGCGCCTAAGATTTTGAGCTCTACGGCACGGCTGTCGTTGTTGCCGCGTCGCCTCGTTGCGTGAGCGCCTTAGAAAAAAATGATTAAAATCCATACATGCC